ACCGGTCTGATGACGGTGCTGGTGTCTGCACTCAGATCTAGCGTCCCCACTGGACTGACTGGAATTGACACAGACTCTCGGGATTCATAGAGCCTTAAAATTAAACACAGTGGAAGAATTCAGTCGAAAAAAGGAGATGGAGATTTGTCAAAGGTACTCACAATGTACACTTTCACTACCTGCAGGTTGTTTTACCATCGAGACTGTTGGAGCTTGGATAGTCCAGGCCAATATTTTACTCAGTTACATCATGCCATATTTAAGTATTTGTCATGATCTTTAAGTTTCTATTATAATCTTGATCATTTTATGTTATAATGTAAAAAGCTGTGCTCCATAAATTAATCCTGCTTTGTTAGTTTGTTGTTGTTGTAAAGTGTTGATAGATGTCGTAAAGGGGGTGTGTATTTGGCCCGCATGCGGAGGGGTGTGGGTAAAAGGTTAGGTAAGCAAGCAGGACGTGGAGCAACAGTTTTCTGACCGTCGCCGTTTTGTTTTTTTTGTTGTAACATAGAGGGAATGTAAACATAGCTCCCACCAGAGGGATTTGTTTTGTACCTTTCGATTTATATGGAAAATAAATGTTTTGCCCCCTTTTTCCTTCGCCTCATTTTTGCTACCGGAAGGCATCCAAGCTACTTAACAAGAGCACGAGTTAGAAACTTTACGTCCTGCAGAAACGGCAAAGAAGGACCGAAGGTTGCCGTTACAGAGACATTACATTAACACTGTGGTTGTTTTTAAAAAGAACATCTTGCAAAGTCTTATTTTCCCCAAATTTTTAGCCAACATGTTTTAATTATTTTTTAGTGAGGTTTTATGTGTGTGTAGGTTCTCTTTCAACCAGGTCAACCAGGTCATGCTTAACTTGTTTAAGTTTCCAAAACTTAAAGACGTCCAGTTGCTTTCTTTGCAAGCTTCTTGGACCTTTAGTGAGGTTTACTATGAAACTGATGGGTTAGTCTATTGTTGAAGAAGTGATTAAGAACATGATAGATGGATTATAAGCAGGGTTTTTTGAAGATAAGAGTTTGGCCTTAAATTATGAAAGACAATGAGAGAAGTTACTTTAGACCAAAGGTGGATATGGAGTGCAGTATATCTGCTTTGAAAAACACAGCAGTGCACTTTACCTGCGTCCTTTGTTAAGTCCCTGTTGGTTTAGCTGGGTGTTGCTATTCCTCTTGGCTTTGTTCTCAAGACGTCGCTTGATCAGTCCCTACGGGTGAAGAACGCAAACACAGTGCATTTGGGCAATTATGTGTTGTGTCAACAGGAAAAGGAAAACTAGCGCAAAGATTGTCTCTGGCGCATACTGCACTCACCCTCACACCGCCATCTTGAGCCTTTGGTCGAGGACCAAGCTGGCCCCCATGGTCGGGGCTGCAGTCTAGGGATTGGGATAAAAATGAAATTCTCTGTCAGTTTTTCATTAGTGTTGGCAGGACAAGTTGGCTTAACTAAATGAAATTATAGGCAGTACTGATTATTTCCATTTAGAGTTTGTGGTCAGTACTTCTACATATTTCTTTCTTTTTGTGAGTCAGTTGTTTCCAGGCATCAAATCAAATGGTTGGCAGCCTAACTTTAGAGCAGATATTGTGTGCTGGTGAAGCAGGAATAGCATGAATATTAATACAATTAAAATTGGCTAAGTTCCATTATGGTAAGTGACTTCCAGGTCATATGAGAGCACCTGGGGTTAAATAACCTGTGATTTTTTGCTGATATGAAAACAAACATTTTATGACTAATTTTCAAGCAAAAATTTTTTTTTTCACTCATCTAACACAAATAATTTTTACTGAAGACTCTCAAAAACATCAAGCAAAAGGTTTTAATATTTCCAGATGGGTTCAGATGAGCCGGTTCAGGATGTGGTTTATAGCTGTAATCTGATAGCTAGACCTTTCTCAGTAAAGTTAACTAATTGCACACATTTCACTAAATAACACATAGTGTACTGCAGCTTTACATTGAACAAAGGTAAATGTTCCCATTTTGATTTTTCCTGTTTTGTGTGAACATTTTAACCTTTTAGTCAGAAAATTGATATCTCTAACTGGAGATCACGATATCCTCTTTTGCTTATCTAAAGTCAGCGATATTGATGTGTTTCATAACAAGATTACACAGGTGTCCGATTTTCTTTTCGCTGCTTACCCAAATTCCCACCACAAACAATCCAGCGTTTAAATCCTATCATTTAGTCCAGAGGTGTGTGCAAAAGTCCTGTTACTTCAGCCTCTGTGTCTTTATCATTTCCTTTCTGTCGTCTTCAAAAGAGCCGATTGAGTCACCCGGCCAGTCGCTGCAGGATCGAACACCTCCACAGTGCAGTGTCTGAACCTCTTCTAAGCAAAATATCTAAACTGCATGGATGGAAGATACCGACTATATCATAGCGCTCTGTCTTTCTGCGAGTTTTCATTGGACTGCTAAAACCCTGTCTTGATGCTATCTTCCCCAGAGGGAAAAAAAAACACAGAGGAAGCGATCTTACAGACATTGCCACGAACAAACATTTAGCTATTTCCTCTGTGTCTTCTGCGGAAATAGTGCAATAGTCATGGCTGATGTCAGTAGCAGTTAAGCTGGGGGTGTTTGATGATTTCTCTTCATTGCATTTTAATCTGCACATCATTTTGTTCGCTTTACGTGTGTATACGGACCTGTGTCAATGTCTACAAGGTTCTGCATGCTGAGGTTGGACAAGCAGCTGCTGACACGGTTTCGAGTCCACATTGTTGGCTAAGACGGACACACAAAAACGGGCATTTTTTACTCTCCGTGGTTATGACGACATGATTTGAAATCAGTGTAAATAACATGCTGTTAGCTGTGGGTACCTCTTCCTCTGGGGAAATGAGAATCTGCCCATCTTCCAGGCAACAGTTGCTGATGTCCCATAAGGGGACCTCCTGAGGCGGGACCCATTGCAGTCTTGAGAGTTCGCAGGGTCCGGCTGGTGTCGGCACAACCTCATTCAAACCTGCAATTCAAGCAAACATCGCACAGACAAACACATTCTGATACTGATCAATCATGTAAGGTCAGTATACACGTGTAATCACATGCTGAATATGTGCTGATTTCTCTCACTTTGAAGAACTGACAGTCAATTGTTTACGATGTACAGATACTGCTTAACTGGAGGCGTATGCTGCCGGGCTGGTTTGTTTTTGATTTTTGGTAATGACACTTATCTCACACAGCGATTGGCCACTCCCATTTGAGGTGTTGCCTTGGCCACTGACGCTATTGGTCTCTCTTTTTTATTACACGCCATGAAGGCCTGCGCACATCCTGTGGGCTGTCGTTAGGTTTTTTGTGTCTTTTTTTTTTTTTTACTCGATGTCAACATCCATTGTGCTTTTATGTCGTCTCAATGTTTACATTATCTTACTATCAAGTATACGCTGTTCTTGAAACGCCAGCAGAAGATAAAGATAATATTGCATCACTAAAACATGCATAAAAGCCCAGGAGAGCAGAAGGTGGCAGGAAAAGTAATGCTTGTTTTTTAAAGCAATTATATTTTCTTCTTGTTCTTTTTAATAATAAAATATGGTATCTTCTCCATGCAGCCATGCCTCATTTGGCTCACACCTGCATGATCTGTCTGTGTGTGTTGCAGATGTTTCTCTCACTTCCTGTCAGCTGAGATGAAAGACGTCTAGAGAACTTCAGTATAGGTACAACTATTTGAATCTGAGGTGGATTGAGGTTTCTGATGTCATTAGACAAATGTTCAGACATCATTTGTATTAGCTGTCTGAGGACACTCCTTTTTAGTTTCTGAGGAATGCGTGCAAATCTGACTAGAGTTCATATTTTGTATCTTAACAGCAGGAAGGCTTCTGGTTGGATTTCCCTACCATTTTCACATAAGGGGCACAGACACTTCTGTGTCACAACAACACATTATGTTGCTGTACATTTTTTAGCCATGTACCTCTTAGTATGCATTTGTTTCTCAGCGCTGGGGAAGTTGGTTAGTGAATCTAGTTAAGTGTGGGTGCTGGTTTGCAGTTCTTCAGTTGCTTTGAATTTCTGGGTCATTTCTCTGCTGTTTTGGCGGTTTTGGTCTCGCAATGATTCATGTCTGAAATGAGATAATGACGATTGTCTGGGTTCTGCTTTTTAGAAGGAGAGAAATCTGTTATCTACAAGGAGAGAGCCCTTAAACATAGACTTGAAGGGCGCAGGGCTTAGATTTTAAGCTTGTCCAATGACTCCACACTTGCCTCACAGATTTACTACTACTACCACTACTGCTGCTACTACTAATGTTTTAATCTCGGCCTATAATACTTACTGTTTGTTTAGAAAATATTCCAACAGTTACAGACTTTCCTTTTGTCTTTGTACTGATACTTTTTTACTGTTTATTTGAGGATGTAAATGTGGCATCTACAAATCTTCTAAAAGAGATTTCTTGAGGTTAGGGGACTTTAAATAGCCATCAATAGACATCAGATTTGTCACAATATCTGAGATCACACTATCATTTAGCTTACTGGGTAATGGCTCAAATATCTTTACAACATTTTGTTTAAATTGTTTGCTGATGTTTAAGATATTTTTGGAAGTGTCAAAGTCATTCAGTGGTGTTTGGCTGTATTTAACTCTTTCATCACTTTCATAACCTGTAACTTTTCTGAGATCCACTCTTTTACTTGTGATTTATAAATGATTTATATTTATAATGTATTTTAACATAATGTAAGCCTATTTAAATTCTCAGCTTCTCTCTTTAATTATTTCTACATGTGTTTAATACTGAGCCAGATGCTAAAATAGTCTTAATAGTAACATTGCAGATAAAATTTCCAGATGCACTTTTGACAGAGGCCAAACCACTCCTACTGCTGAGTGTTATTAAATGGTCCTACCTACTTAACAGGAAATCACAAATTGTGTGATCGCAAATAGGAAACATTTTCTGATATTTCACATAATATTTGGATTGAGTAATGACCTTAATGCGCAGGGCTTTGTGTGTACGCTGCACTTTTGTTGTAGTAGTCTTACCTGCAAGGGATGGCGTGCTGTTGCGGGGCTGTAGCTTTGGCTTCTTGAGCTTCTGGGACACACTCCGAAGATATTTTTTAAAAAGTGCCCCTCCGCCCCCTTTCTGTGAGGGGTCACTGGAGGCAGCGCCCGAGGCTTCTGTGCCAGCAGAAGTGGCTGCAGCAGAGGATGAAGCTGCGTGAGCCGAATTGGTAGTGGAGAGGGCTGCAAACAGAGAGCCAGGAGGCTCGGACAGGGCCCTCCTGAAGGGGTTCTTTCTTGTTCCTCCGGAGGCTTTTTCGGGCTTGGCTGCATCGCTGCTTTTCCCATTGGATGAATTCTTTTCTCCGGGGTCCTCGCTCAAGGCCTTGCGCCAGTTTTGCATCTTGCTCCACTTGTTGCTGGAGGCCTTCTGAATTTTTTCCATGGCAGATGTGGAGGATGCCGGCGTTCCTTCTCCTTCTTCTTTCTGCTCATTGAGGGTTCCCTTGGAGCCAGTATGCCACTTGTATGTGTTGAGAGGGTCGCTGGTCTCAGATGTTTGTGGAGGCTCATTTTCCTTCTCAGGTGATCCCTGCTCCTTTGATGCTGGCTGAGCTGCAGGCTCTGGATCTTTCTCCTCAGTGCCCATTTCACACTTTTAGGGTGTAACTAAAATTCTCTCTGTTTTCAAGGTTGCATCAAAAACCTTCACAAGAGAATTCACCTGTCTCCCTCCTAATTTACCGCCGCTTTGGAGATTGCTGCGTGTGCGAAAGGAAGACAGTGTAGTCTGTATCTCCTCTAACTGTCTGTTTCTCATTTCCTGTCTTGCAAAAACGTTGATCAACAACACGCGACTTAGCTGCTCTGCCTGTGGTTGCTGTGCTGCAGCACTACTCCCATCTCTCTGGGCTGTTTGCTTCCTCATGAAATGACACAGAGAAGTTCAGTGTTTTCATTTAATACTTCCTGCCGTCTGTTCTTCCTGTTCTGTCAAAAAATAATAATAAAACAAATCTGCATTCAATTTGTGTGAAACTCAAAGAAATGTCCACAGATGTTATAATAAAATGTGTGTTTTAGGTTGTCCACCTTCACCTCAAAGGAAGCTTACTTGTCAGATTCAGTCAGTCACATTATGAGCAAGGGGAATGTGGTTTTGCATGTTACAAAGTAGTAGAAATCCATCGTGACACAATATTAGGCAAGATGTGTAATATGAAGATATTTAATAAATGGATGAATCTAATAAATCACCAGTCTCTATACAGTTAATAAGATTTATTTTCTTGGTAACTTGAATGAAATAAACCACCAAGGACAACATCTTTCTTGTCAAATATACGTGAAAAATATTGTATGGAAGACTCTGGACCCAGTCTTACTTTTTTAGTAAGACCACTAAACTGATATCTGTGAGAAATAAACATCATGTGGTATCAGCTACCTGAGAGTTTACAAGCTGTTGACAGTTAAGAGTCAGTTTCCTGTCAAAGCTACAGGAAACTGACTATGAAAACCACTTCCTGCTCTCATGCTGCTCTTTTCTCGTACACACCTGCAGGGTATTTCTGTGTGCCAGTGGGGTGAACTGCCAGCAATATGGTCAGATGTTGTCTTTCTAATGGTGTAGTAAAGTAGTAATGGTGGAGTACAGCAGGACTTTTAGATTTTTCACTGGGAACATTCCTCAAGTTCACTTCTCTAGTTCTTTAAGCTATAAAATACCCGGGAAGTGGTTTTATAGGAATCACATTCACACAGTAACATTAATACAGTATCAACATGCTTGTATCTGTGTTTCTATAAAGAGCTGAGTGTGTGAAAACACTGAGTTACATTTTTGTCTTGTTTCGTCCAGGCCCTCTAGTGGCCGGGGGCATTTGGTATCGAAAATATGCTTTGACTGTATGCGGTCAAATTTGAAACGTAATCAATGAAAACTGACTGCCTCAACATGAAAAAATAATTAAAATTAAATGTAAAAATTAAAAGAAAAACTGTAACTGAAGTTTGAGAGTGTTTATAATGTGTGTGCTGTCTTTTAGATCTATAATCAACCTTTAACCTGACACTAGTTTAAAAGTAAAAGGGGTCCATTTAATTTTACGCAACAGGATGTTTTATAATGTTATTTTGGAGCATTTTGTGGTAAATAAACTAAAACCATTTATGTATGAAAGCCCTTTATTTTAGTTAAAAGGCTAAAAGCTGAATATTTACATTATGTGTATAATGTTATAAGAGGCAGTAAACTCAGGTTTATCACTGTGCAGTTGCAAGAACACTTTATTTATTAACATTTGAACAACAAGGGAACTGATCTGGACTCAGTGTCAACAGAGAGTCTCGGTCAAGGTTGCTCTGTGTACGTTAACACTGTTCTTGGCCATAAAAACCCTGAAAACCACGAATACTGATCACAACAGGATTTGAAGTTAAAAATTAACAGTAAAATGAATCTTTGCTGGTAAGTATTCTTAAAGCACAACAAAAGAAGCATTTCACAAAGCAGCATGTCTGTACAACTCCTCAAAATGTTGGCAAAAATGATGTATGCTGCAGGAAGTGCTTGTTCTGTTTACAATTCAAGCCAAAAACAGCTATAACATTTGAAAATAATAGAGATAAATGGGTAAATGTCTAAATACTGTATACTTAAGTATACAATAAGTTATTAATATTTAAGATGAATCTACAGTCACAAAATCGGAAAGTATTTAGATTCATTTGTGGAGGTCACAGTGTTTGTCTTCATCTGGTGGTCGATTGATTTACTGCAGAACAGTTTACCTTTTACCTTAACAAGAAAAATGTGGTACAGACAGTAGCGGTTTTTGATGTGGACGACATTGGCCAGCGCTGCGTCGTGGTGGGTGCGGCATCATGGGCATCGGCAAAAAAAAAGTTGCCATCATGCCAGTGCATTTTGGGGATTGCATGGGCACCGATCGGAGCGGGGTAGCCGGGGGTTCTCTGGCTGGCTGGACAGGTGTTGTGCCAAAAAGTGATTGTCTGCCAAAAACTGATTTCCGGTATTTGCCAAAAACTGACTGCTTGTATTTAAACTGCTATAAATAACTTGTTGGTCTATAATATGTGAAACATATGTCAAATGTATCTCTCATGAATGATATCACGTCATCTGCAAATCAAATCGATTTATTTATATAGCACTTTTCACAGGATAAAAACCGCAAAGTGCTTCATAGTAATATAAAACAGAAATACATAAAATACATTAATAATCAAACATACAGCACACATCTAATTAAAAGCCAATCTAAATAAATGAGTCTTAAGCTGCTTTTTAAAAGAATAAATACAATCAAGGCAACG